AAATTTTCCCCTCTTTTGCATGGCGTTTCTTTTACGAGGAACTTCTTCATCGTCTGAGCCATCCTGAAAAGCGCTTCCTAATTCTGCTAATAAAGATGAGGTCATGATCGTCCAGCAGAAATTTCGCTGGCAAATCATTACTTCTAAGATAACCATTGGCAAACAAGTACAGCAGAGCTAATAAGAAACCATCATTGTTGGTATAGCCATTCTACCAGAAGAATAAATGGTAAAAAGCAACACAAAATTTCTTAAAATGAGTAGGAAGCAATCGTAAGCAACAAACCTGCGCACGGCTGTACCTAACTTCCACAGAAGCCTCTTTACTGCCGAATGGTTTAGCCATCATATTCGAAAAGAGCTCATCCTGGCACCGAAATCGTACAAATGATTCCACCTTAATAATCAGAAATGGGGATCTGTTATGAAAAAGATAAACCCTCAATCACATCAACGGCGGGCGCAAATGATTGAACAAATTTTACTTATTGTCAAAATAATTGCGAAAATTTTGCGAACAGTATAGTCAAAAGGGACACAGTGAATCTCGCCACTCTGAAAAGTTTTCTGCGATCGTCATCACATAACATAAGTCACTATTGTAGTTCACGTACCTGTTGGAGCTTTTTTTCAACAAAATTCGCTCGTTTTGCAACATTTGGATGCCAGTGTTTTTGTAAACTCTGGATATACTCACTGTAGATTAAATAACCATTTTAGCACAGAAAACAATAAAACTTTCACAAGAAAATAGACACCTTAACTTCCCAAAGAGAACTGCTGAGAGCATCACATTTGCTTAAGCTCACCTCATCCTCGTCATATGGATCAGCAGTTAGAGTTTCTGCATAATAAGATTATAAAATATTTAAAAACTATCATTTCAAATCAAGTGCAACTACATACCTGGTACATCACGGTGAATGAGACAGGCGACATTGGGGTGACGAGTTAACAAGTTTCTGATCAATCCTAATACTGGTTCCTGAGCGTCAAGCGGAGCCAGAAGAAGCATACGACAAAGCCTTTTTGCAAAACCAGCAACAACATAATTGGGTATATGCCTGAGTATGAACTTGCAACATTGTCGCTTCAAAAATAGAAGCGGTAGCTCTAGCCAAGACTGAGAAAGGAAGTACCCTAGAAGTGCATAAATAAAAGCTTACGTTGACGAAAGAAATTGGTCAAGAAGCGTAATGAACTTCTCCTTATGATCCAGGTATAACACCGACGGTTTCATTAATGAATAGACGTGGTCATAGAAGTTGGGATATTCACTGT